TTAATTAGGAATTGTACCTGTAGAAGAAGAAACAAATAATTATGAATACATTTATATAAAACATGGCCACAATATTTACATTTTTCCAATTTTATTTGGAATGTTTCTGAACTGTCTCAGTGACTGTTTTAATTTACAATATCTACACTGCTAACCAAAAAAGATTTCAGGTGTTATTTTTTAAAAGAATAAGACTTTAGAATGTATATTTATGGAGCTTAATATACACAGTAGTAGAATAATTTGGATTTTGTGTCTTTTTTTGTAAGTGAGAAGCCAGAGATGAACAGAAATGCTTATTGCCCAATATAATTTCTATCACTACAGCTATTACGTTGTGATGATTAAAGCTTAATAGTAAATGCATAACTACATGGAAATGCAGACCCTTGGTACTTTGATGGCTGTTATGCTACAAGGACAGTATGTAACAACAATAAACTGTGATTAAAATGATAGCAAATGTCCTGTTGCAAATCCCAAACTAAGTCAAAATTAATTAAGACATTACCTTAAAAATGCACTACAGTACTTCAGTCTGAAAACATTAAAAGTGAGATTGGCAGGATCAAACCATTTCACAGGCAGGCTTACAAAGCTTATGGTTTTAGCAGCTTACTGGGAAAGGAAACCATATTGTGGTGCACATTGATTTTAATCTTCACTTAAACCCTTATAACATTTTTTAAATAAGATCCTTTTAAATATCATCAAAGCATTAAAATCTATGTGTGAACAAGCAAAAGCAATTAGACATGCTTGAGCTGTCTGAGATGTCCTTTAGCAAATCCCCCCAAAAGATTAAATTCTCATTCACACTACATGAAGAGTTAATATCTGCAGGTGACTCAAAAAAGTAAAGCTTCTCATTCAGAGTTTCTGATTAAAACCTGGGCGATATCATTAGCCAATGTCACAGACTTTTCCCGAGGCACATCACATAGTTGGCCGAGCACTACTGGGTCTCCTCAGCATGCCTGGAAAAGCAGCTCCAGGAGCATGATGTGAACCTTTGAACTCACAATGATTTCAACAAGCGATGCATCCCTCCAACAATCAGTACTACCTCTACTGCAAGTGTCTTTGGAAGTCAAACCGTGCCTATTGCAGGGCTCTGTCACCTGGCAATGATGGAATTAACTTTTCGAAGAAGGGTTGACTCTTATTGTTTGCACTGGTAAGTGGAGTTGACTAATAATTGGTGATTCCAACTGGGAAGGTTTAAATAGAAAATAATGGGCAAGCCTGCATTTATTAAAAATAAAATAATGGAGAATTAAATTTAGCAGGAGACATCTTTTCATACCCTGCAGAGAATATCAGTGTAAATGGGTAATACTTCCTGAGGGAATGAGTAAAAGCCAAAGAAAATATTCATATTATTATGCTTATGTCTTATTTTGTCACTATCAGCTTATAGGTCACTCTCACAGTGAGAGAATAATGAACTATATTGAAGAAAATCAGGAAATCTTTCCTGACAGTTGTTGTCTTTATTTAAATTTCTCTCAGTTTTATTCATTGTGCTTGTTCAAGTAGGCTGAATTTTCTGTTTCCAACATGGCAAAGTGAACTCTTGAGTCATCATCTCTTGAGTCAAAAACTCTTGAGTCAAAAGCAGTGAGATAGTATTGCAGTGTGATGTCTTGGAGAATGTTTTTTTGCAGAGTTGAAGAGACAAATCAGACAGCAGTGATTGGCGTAAAACTTTCAGAGGTGAATCACAAAACACATTGAAAAACTGTCTGGACTGCCATGGGCATCAGTCTTGTGGAACAGTATGTCATCTATCATGTTGTTCATGCTGTCTAAGAAAATAGGAAGACTTCATTAACAATGTGAGGTACTGTGACTGAGGTACAACTGGTAGCTTGTTCCACTGCACTATATCACATCCTCATACATACTCAGACTTTGACCTTCTTTGTCCTACAATCAAATTCTGCTAAGCTTTATATTTTGTAACAGAGTACTTCTGTATTTCCATGATTATAAAGTACTATAATACTTTCACATTGAACAACAAATTCATGCGTAGCAAGATTTGATTTGTTTTCAATTGATTGTATCTAGTAGATACCCAACAGAATGAAACAATCTATGATTGACAAATCACAGTTGAATAATGTAAAAATGTGAAACCCATGTTCTCAAGAAGGGTGAACCTCACGGTTTTCAGGAACATCTTTAAACTCTGAACAAAAAGACACAGAAACAAACAACAAAAATGTTAATTAAAAAAACAAAAATATGTAAACTACTAATGCAATTAAAATAATTTGGCCTTGTAAATAAACTATGAGATGCTGACAAATTCCAGGACTTTTGGGGAATTTGCCATTTAAATTTTATATCCTTTCAGTTGATGTTCTTCAACAATGTCAAATTATGACTCATTACATTCATTCTTTATTGTGAGTTATCAATTCATGCATATTCTCCACATACATGTTTGAATTTTAGTGTATTTTGAAAATCAATACCAAACATAATTTACTACAACATAACTAATAACAAGATTAGTTTCAATTCTGCTTTTTTGGTTAATTTTACACCTATCAATTCTAGACCTGTGAGATAACTGTGTACTTATTAAATCTTAACTGAGTCACCCAGCCAGTGTGGCAGAAGTAAATTGTCCTTGCTTTTCTGAATAAAATTGAATTAGGTGCTGAGCTCTGTCAGACAAGAAGGTTTTAAAAAAAATAATCCATTACAGAAGCAAAAACAGAGGAAGAACTTACTTGGTGCTGATTTGAAGACTGTGATGAAGTAGCCCTTCATTGTATAAAAATAAATATTTTTCATGCATCACTGAAACAATCAAAGGTGTTAATGCATAAATAGAGTAATTTAAAAAACTCCACACTTTGACTTGAACAGACACTCATGCCCCCTGTGGAGTAACCAAATAACAATAAATACAACTGTCAACAAAATCAAACAAGTGTCAACTAATAAAATGAAAATTTGAGAGTGCTTAACAACAAAAGTGCAATATATTTTTTAAATGATTCATCAAATTCAGGGAAGTGAGGGAGCTGAAGCTTATCTTGCATGCAACAGGTGTAAGGCAGGATACAACTTGTATAGCAAGCGAGTCCATTGCAGGGCACACATAGACATAAACATACAAACTCACACTACAGTTAAATTTCCCAGAAGCCCATCAACATACCATTTTGTTTTTGGACTATGGGAAGAAAACTGGAGCAACCGGAGAAAACCCATGCGAACCCAAGGAGAAAAGACAAAGACCATGCTAATTGCACCCCAGGAACTGAAAGCAGAACCCTAGCATTGCAAGGTAGCAATGCTAAACACTGCATCACTATGCTGTCCATATTGTATTTACAGCGGAACTGAACAAACCTTCTAATTGGCTTCTGGAACAGTTGGCCCTGGTATGAGTGTATGCATCTGTGTGTAACCTTGCGAGGGTCTAGCATCCTGTCTAGGCAGTACCCTGTCTTGTAGTCCTATTTGATAAGGCAGTTAGAAAATGGATATAAATGCAATATAATAATAGAAAGTCAATTACTTTTAGCAACCAACCGCCATTAACCGCTGCCATTAATTGTTCTTTCAGTAGGATCAAAGCTTAATTTATGCAAAATAGAGGCAAACGTTCCAGTACATCTAAATGCTATTGTTATTGTTCAGATAATCTGACGTTCAGGAAGTGACTTTTTTCAAACAAAAATTCAGGTCGTGGCTCAACCAAGAAGAAGATTTAACATGAAGATTTAAAAAAAAAACTTCCAAACTCTTCTTATAAATTGCTGCACTGATGGAAATTGAGACTTAACACACTTCATCAACCACAGCCTTGTGAAATATTTGTATCTGAATGCCTGCTGCACTACTTTTGCATCTTAGTGAAAGGCATCTTAGTAAAAGCCAAGGTGACCATCTGTCCCTTTGAAATATTGACATGTTCCCTCTCATGAATGTTGCAAAAAACTACTTTTAAAAAATCCTGGCTGCCAGGAGCCAATCAAATTTCAGGTATGCTTAACACATATTTGCATATGCTGTAGTTTCATGTGTTATGATATTTGTGTGCAGTAGAATGTTGATTAATCACAAAAGAATAGGAATGGGTATTATAGTCCACATCTGAATAAAGCTGATTAGTCATGTGTTTTGTCAATTATATAAGACCTTTCACCTCTCCTCCTGGTGATATGAAAAAAATAGCTTCTAACTTCATTATTAGTGCAGACAGAGCCACGGTCACTACAGGACACAAATAGGAACCCAAACATATTCTAGCAAAATTGCCTTGACTGCGACCTCTGACCTTTACTAAATGTCAAATGTAAACCCTTCCACCCACTCTTTATAGACTCAAGGTTATATCATCTAGGAAACCAAATGTGCCTGATTAATTAATGTTCTTATTCACGATATTTGACCTCTTTCAAAAGTCAAGTGCAAACTCTTAGAACAAAAAAGAGGTGTGGTGACCTGGCTTAAAGCTATATAGCCCTGCATTTTCTTCTGTGACTGTATTAGAATTTATTTAATCAAGACGATATGTTTAAGTTTTTATAGTGTGTAACTGTGTGGAATTTCCTCATAAGTGTGACTAATGATTCTTTTGAGCCTATTTAAATACAGCAATTATTTTTAAAAATGTGTTGAACTGGTATACTTAGTCTACCAAAGACTGGTAAATGGTGTTTTTTTAACAAGACAAAAACTTTGCAGGTTGATATCATGTAAACAAATCCTCTGTAAAATAAACTTTTAGAAGACATGTATTTAAATTGCTGCACATGTAATTCAGCTGCAGCTTTTTGGTATGTTGTTTTTTTGCTGTCATTGTTTTTTACACTATTTTTGTTTTAATTCATGACCAATATCTCCTGACTTAAATATAGTTTAAATATATGTAGTGAATTAAAAAAGCAAATGGTTTTTTGGGAAAAAATGCTCCAATACTCCAAAACTTCAAACGCATCATCTGTATTTTTTAAATGCTACTTTCCCCTCAGAATTCCAGAACAAAAAGTGTTGTGAAGACACATGGTTCTAACCAGCCTTATGTAAGAAGTTACAGAAGACCTTGAGGAATGCTTCCTGCTACAGGGTAAGCACAATTGTCCTATTCATCTCTAGCTAGAGGGTAGATGAAGGCTTGAGGCAGTACAAGAACATTGCCACTCCGCACTCATCTGCTACCAAGAGACTTGGTTAATATTTAATCTCCAGCACCAGTCAAGGAGAGCTTTGCAGTGAATGTTAGCATCTTGGTTAAGGAAGGAGGAGGAGAGGGAGGTGGTTTTAAATACAGGACAAGCTGTGAAGTGATTTGGTATTTATTAGGGTGTAGACATAACATGTTACAATGTTAAAAGAGGTTCTGCTGTTATAAAGTTACACTGTATTATTTGATCTTTGACTTCACTGTTCGAAGGACCCCTGGCCTCACAGTAACTCCCTGCTCTTGCTAGTCTAAGAAAGAAGGAGGCGAATTCAGTAGAAAAAATCTAATTTTGTCTGAAGGTAACTTTATAAATTCCTTATATTGGATTTTGTTGTTCATTAGTTTCAACAGGGTTAAATATGTTGTGCTGATCTGTGTACAGTAGCAAGTACAGTAGCAAGCAGATGCAAAGTTCCCATGAATTTGAGTTTTTAGATTATACATAATGGCGTGTAATGTGTTCTATTTTCTCTGACATTGCTTTGCTTGATGGGACTGCAAAGGGAAGCTTTAGGCACAACTTATAACCCAACTTATAATTACAGTTTAGTGCCTGTCCAAGCAAAGCTGATATTGGTATTTGACCTTTTAAAATCATTAGGATCACTTGGCTTCTACAAATGAAAGGCAAAAATGTTAAATTTGGGTACAATGAATAAAGAAATTCTCACAGCCTTTTGTTTTTACTGCATGTAGTGAGTGCCAAGGTGGCACAGTCATTATCATTACTGCCTTAGTGTGCTTATCTTGCTACTTTGTTTTCCTTTTTAAGTAAAATTTTAACGTGTCGATTTATACTGATCAAAAATATTGATATGAGATAAGGATTACTTGGTATTTAGGAAAACAGACAGATGATGAGAAAATCATTTATGTACAACATGTTGCTCTGCCTTACCTATCTTTAATATGCTGTTAGGTATTTCCAAGGGAAGCAGGTGCTTAAAATATAGTCAATGTTTTATTCACACGACAACTATTTGCTATTTAACTACAAGTCTAAAAATATTTGATAAGGAGGTAATGTGCTATATAGATAATGATAAGATCTGTGTTCATAACCCTGCTCAGAGGAAATAAACTAATATTAAGGAAAAAATGTCCACAAGACCACTGTCGACTGCATGAGCCTGTGCCCATCATGCCAAAATTAATCTCCAAGCACACACATATTAAGGGGAGCCAGTTTACTAACTACTTCTTTTTCACTTGACTCCTTCAAAAGTAACTTTTTATATCCATGTGTTGTACATGGCTAGTTGGTATATTTTCTTTGTCCTTCTGCATATGCATTATACTCTGTACACTGTCGAATATCTTAATACTAGAAATATTAGAATATATTCTCAATTGGTGATGTGAAGCCCAAATGGTAAATTTATCTTATTTCTTCTGACTGGAAGTAGGTTCTATATTATCTTGTAATGCTATTCCTGTCTCTCTAATCCATTTGATATCATCTCACAATTTCAGGAAGAAGATTGACAGAGGCTGAAAATGCCTGGGAGTGTCCTGACATATATGTGTATATCTCACAAGGAACACCTTTCAGAGTTTTGTGTTTTATAAGACAAAGTAAGACCCTGAATTATGGGAATATCAATTTGCTCTAGCTGTCTAGAAATTATGCTAGAGAGCAGAATTGTCGAAAAGTTCTTCTAATTCCACTTAAAGGCTGTATATATATATAAAATCAATGTAAGAAACCAGGGACATCTGAGTCACCCTTATGAGGGGTCATCAGCATGATATAGATTATTGTAACCAATTAAAAAGTTTTAAACTGTACGTTTTTGCATTTTATTATATAAAGAAACTATGACTAATTATTTTGGTTTTGTAGTGCAATTCTTATTATTTTATTAATTTATTATTCATTTATTAATTTTAATAATGTGTGTAACGGAGGGGGTCACATGAGGTTAGCAGACATTGTATCCAATGAAATGTGTTTAGTCTATAAAAGTGCAAACAGGCTTTACAGTACAAAAAGACAGTTAATATGTGGAAGTATTTCATTTGTCCACACTGTTGCAGTTCTTTTAGCTCACAACATTTTTTGAAAGGCTAAAACTTTAGAAAATTAACCCACCAACATTACCTTTTCAATGTCAACATTGAGCTCTTGGTATTAATATTATTTATTATATTATCTTATTGCTTGAAAACACATGTGCAGCAGACATCTTTTATTTTTTTTAATATCAGTAATTTAAAAATCAATGCGATTGGTGATGGTGTTAACCTTTTTCTATGGGCTTTCAGTTATTCATGTACTCCATGTTTTCTAGTACATTACTACAATATCCTTGGAAGCTTTTTTTTATTTTTTAACTATAAGATTCAGCTCTTCCACCATTTAGACTTAAAGGAAGTTGCATAATGCTCAGTTTGAAATTCTGCACATTTCTCTCACTAATGTGTTTTGCCTGAGGTTTTGCAATTACCAAAAAATATACAAAGAAAAAAAAGGAAATAGTAGAGAGGAGAGGAGAAAAAACTCACCTTCAAACCCTTGAGCGTTTCTTTGCCTGTCAACAGCAAAGAGCGTTATTTGAAGGATCAGTCAGCCCTGACAAGCCTGTCATAGAGAAGCTTAATTAGCTGGGATTACTTCCACACTTAACCAAATGCTTCCCTTTCCTGTGCAGTCTGATTCTTTTTTACCTTTCCTTCCAACAGATCTTACTGTGTTTGATATCATGGAGATATTGTCACATTCGGTTGCTCACATAGTGACATCAGTACTTTTCCTGATGTCAAGATGTGGCTTTGTGATCTTGTACAGAGCCATTTAAGAGAAGCCTTAACTAAATTCACTCTATGTTAAGCTTTTTTTAAAAAAAAAGTCTTTCTTTTCTTGTTTATGTCACTCTATAGATCATGTGTCACAATTTAGATTTTCAAACACATTTTACATGCTTACACCAAAAGTGTATTTCTTTAGCATTCCCGTTTTTTCTTCCTAATTGACTTGGTTTTACAGTTAATTATGTATAGAATCACTATAATTAATCACTGTCTATTGCTTGTTTAACCTGTTATTTCCTGATACGATCTTAACTTTAACCTGTCTGTAGCTAAACATTCTCCCTCAAAAAGGAGGATCTGTCATTTCCAAAATTGTATTTTCTGATACACTGGCCTTAGGAAGTTGTTTCGCAGAACAATATTGCACAATAAGAGGTTAGAATGCAGCCAAGCAGATTCTGTCATGGATGTCGGAATGTCAACCCGTGGAATGACAAGGAGAGCAATATGCGTAGCGGTAAAAGGCACAACAAGGGGGTTAGCCCAGGCTCAGGGGGTCAGACGATGTCGGATAGAAACCTATGCCCTCAGGCTGTGGAGAAGATGACCTGGTGCTTGGCGGGTCTCAGGACATCTGAACCCTCCATGCTGAGTGAGGTGCAGAGCAGAGACGGGAAGAAAATAGGCAACACAACAAGACACACTGGAAAGACATGAATAATCACAGGGAACTAGGAACTAGGACAGTACCCTCCCCCACCCCCCACCCCCTTAAAGGGCGGCTCCTGACGCCCAAAAAAGAGCTGCACAGCACTAGGGGGAGGAAAAACCTCAAATAACTGAAAGGAAACCTCTGGGAGTGCACGGCTGAGAGCTACCCCCATTTTTTTTTTAAGCCGCTCGCTGGGTCTAGTGTAGGCTGGGCATTCTGTTATGGATGTTAGAAGGTCAAGCTGTGGAATGACCCTATGACCCTATGAGTAGACCCTAATAAAGACCCTATGAGTAGTGGTTAAAGGGGCAACACGGGGGTTGGCCCAGGCTCAGGGGGTCAGACGATGTCAGATAGAAACCTATACCCTCAGGCTGTGGAGAAGATGACCTGGTGCTGAGTGGGTCTCAGGACATCTGAACCCTCAATGCTGAGTGAGGTGCAGAGCAGAGACGGGAAGAAAATAGGCAACACAACAAGACACGCCCTAAAGACATGAATGATCACAGGGAACTAGGAACAGGACAGAAGAGCAGTGCCCTCTAGGTGTACAGGGTGTGACAGTTTCAAAATCTCACACCAGGTAAATGCTCCACATCTACAGTATAACTGGGTTGCTTCACAATGTCAGGGTTGAAAATATCTATATAATAAAATGAAGAATTAATTATAATGATAATTAAGATATTCAGTGCTTCTGATGTTCTATTGAAATCTATTTTACTATCTACTGCATCTGCCCATACAGTATATTTGAGACTTAATTAATCTTGTTATGAAGGTATTTGTTTTTTAAACCAGTTTTGTGAATGGGTTTTTTTCAGTCTTTCATCTATCTTTCTACAATGGTATATCCTTTATGGAAGACTTCATGGTCATTTGTCAATCAGTTGTGTGACCTTTAATACTACACAGTTTCTGTAGTATATTGCTGTCAAGTATAAATAAATATAGCAGAAACATCGTTTCCAAACATTTACCTTGAAGAAGGTAGAAGATTCTTTTTAAAGAATACCAGAGTAAATTGCAATAAGTCTTCATATTTTTGTAATCATTTACAGTAGTTTACCAAAAAATTCACAAATTTTACCCCACACACAATGAAATCTCACTTTATGCTTTTGCACAGTTCAGTAGTAGAGAATTTTGTGGAGGAATTGTTTACAATGGTGTTTGGTGATGTCAGAACTGGGTGAGTGGAGAGATGTTAAAGTATATTACTGTGGATATTGTCTTTTTATCTGGTATCAAATCATGCAGTTTTAGTATTAATGGATAGTAGTAAGTAGAAGTAGCTACTAAAATGTTTTTTAGTAAGTGCAGACTCATGTAGGGATCACTCTTTGTGTTCAAACTTGGTGAGTTTACAGATGTTGTTGATAGAGCAGAAATAAACCTTGAAGGCAGACATTTTTATGTTACTTTTGACCATGTGTCATCTTATGAAGCTCATTTTGGGAATTCCATAAGGGCAAATTTCTTCCACCTGGATAACATTTCTCAAATAAGATGCTTGCCCTGTCTGATGCTGGAATATTGATTTGTGCCTTTATTTAATCAAAATTAGACTGCTGTGGTGCTTTAGTTACTTGGGTATCTTTAAGGTATTAAATGTCCAGAATTATGTGGCTCATTATTGCTAAATAAAACTGTTCTGCATCTGCACATAATTTTGTTCTTTGTCAATTGCACGGGTTTATAGCCTCTAGAGTCCAGTCAAACTCTTAATCAGAGACCTGCTGATCCAGGCCTTGTTACTCAGCTGATGACCTGGCTCCACACAATGTGAGATGATGCCTTCACATGTGCAACACTGTATCTCCAAAGCTCACTGCTCAAATTCACTCTGCATCTGTCAGTATTTTCAAATCTCACTTCAAGATCTTTCCATTGAAGCTTATTATGTGTTATTCAGTTTTAATCCTAGTCTTGCAGTGTCAGTTTGCTGTGGTATTTTCCCTTCTTTCTTTCTGATTTTGTTGTCTGTTATATGTGTGATATTATAGAGTTAAGAGTTTGCAGCTAAAGCTATTAGTATCAGTATCAGTATTGGTATTAGTAATAGGTATTCTCATTTCCACATTGAAAAATATTACTCAAATGGTTTAAAAAATATGATCAATGACAAGCACGAAATTACTACTAGAGTAGGAATATTCATTAAATTCATTTCTTGAAAACTTCATTAAAGTTTTATTAAAGAACTTAATAAAAGGAAAGATCCCTTCATATAGTACCTGGTAGTTGGAAATTAATAGCTCATTATAGAATTTATTACAGCTATTACTTCATTCAGATTTGTTTTGTTTTTGCTGTTAGCGACCTTAATGTGCTTTCTCCGTTGCGTGATGTCTGCTCTTTTGTCCTGCTCTCTGCTCACAGAAAGTGGGAGAATGTGGGAGATCCTGCCTTCTACACACACAGTTGTGGATTAAGATGAAGGTTAGTATTAGAGTCGAGAAGGATGAGAAGATTAGGATTGAGGTTGTTGCTACATACTGTATGGGTCAGTTTCAAAACGTTTCAACTGCGACTTGTGCTATGAGTTGGAGTTGGTCATGGAGAGTTTTCAAAAGGATGAATGAATAAGTGCGTCTTTAGCAGAAGTAAGGTTTAACTTTGTAAATACAAATAAGAATTTAACAACTCCTTGGTTGTTTTGCTTTGAGACTAAAGAGACTCAGATATTTTCTCCAAGAAGGTTCTGTTGTGTCATGTGAGCTAAAATTAAACTCATCCACAACTTTCCTGGTAATAGAAGATTTTTTATTAAAGCACAAAAAGAAGTCAACATTTTGGAAAGGCTCCAAAGCACACATGATCAATTGTAAATCAAAGCACTCTTGCCATGTAAAAAAAACAGACGTGAATGAATACTCACCAGATTCCAGCTGCTGTGTGTTTTTAAAGGCTATTTGAACACACTTTCAAGTAAAAACAATTTTCAAAATTAATAGCTTTAGATTTGAAAAAAAGAATTGAAAACATGTCAAAATCACTGCATGTAAGGAAATATAAAAAGTGATATCACAATTCCAAAATTGTCAGTTCTCTACAGGATTGTGATGCCAAAACATAACCAAAACAGAAGAATACTTTGTATTTTATTTAAGTTCCATTTTGCCACAATATGATACTTTACTTAGGTAGATTAAATTAATATGAATATTCTAAGTACCTTTGACACATTGTCTCAGTGGTTCTTAAGGTCATAGCTAGAATCCCTTGAATCGATTTTCAGATAATACATTCTTGTACTTGACTTGATATAGGGCATTTCTGACCAACTGTTTATGGGAAAGAAAAATCAATTAATCCTTATCTTCACTATCTTC